ACACACACACACACACACACACCTATTTTATATCAACTGATTGTATGATACAACATGTGTAGTAGTAGTAATAATACTATTGGTACTACTACTAGTAGTAACAAGAATTCTACTTCTTAAAACATGTTTTAGGACTAGCACTATTAGGACTATTAGGACTAGCACTAGTGGTAATTATCCATAGTAATATTTCAACTCCTATTTTCCTACTATTGGATTTTGGATGACATTGTCCATGGGATTGGGAGCAATAGCAACTGCTGCTTCAAAGAGATAAAATGGATGACTTCTTTATTTTTTCAGCATACTATCATCATGAGAGTTCTACCATGGCAGCATTCTGAGATTTTTCTCTTCTTCCTCAGACAGACCAATCAAACAGTTAGTAGTACAACAATACATCATCCCTCTTCTTGTTCCTACTATCCATTCCTAAAACAACTCTTTGATGCCTTCCATCATACACCTCTTTGACAATGCTGCTATCTGTATACCACAAGTTGTAAAGAAGAAGTGTCCTTTCCTGGCCTAGAGGTTTCCTTGGAAAAATCTGCTTTAAGGGTCTTACTAATTCTTTCACCAAACTCCTGTTCAGAGATACCTGCTCTGATAAGAGCCCACCTTGCAGAATCTTCAAGTAAGTAGCTACTTCTGTTCCATTTCATTTCTTCTAGAACAACCTTTTGGAAAGTATTCTTGTTCTTTATATCAATGGTTAGTAGATAGCTCTTCTTGTGACTAGAAACCCTAAGCTTCAGTTTGTGAGCAGCATGGACTGGCAGAACAACCAAGACAGAAACTTGAGGAACACCATGTCTACTAGCAAGTGAATCCCAGTGATTTTTTTTCCAGGATGAAGGTCAATTCTATTGTCTAGTAGTGGGACTCCTTTTCCTCCTCACAAAGTTTGAGAGCCTCCCCCCTTGTAGGTACATTCTTCTTTGAAAGAAGATCAGGATCTGTTGAGTTGACACTGTCCATGTCTGATGTCAGCAACAACATTAAAAGATATTGTTTTGCGATAGAGGCAATTGCTCTTGCTGAAGCTTGACACCAGCATTCCTTCTTGTGGTCTTGAAGTCCTCAAGAACAAATGGGGCTTGAAAGGAAACAACATCATGAGGTTTAGGAAGAAAAGCTGTTGGAGGAGCAGCAAGCAATGAGCTGAGTGGAAGCTAGTAGTAGGTCCTTGACTAATTGAATGGGAAACTTTCCCTTCTTAGTCTTGGTAGATATCTTCCCTTTGCTGCTACTAAGAGCATTTACTGCTCTCCCCTTGGTAGGTGTTTCCCAGGGTTTCAGTTTGTTGTTCTTAGTCATTGTAATCATTCTTGCACCATTCAACAAGAATGTTTGCATGATGCCTTAATTCTTTCTTGTCAACAAAAAAATGTACCCAAGAACTTCCAAACTCCTAGTAGTAGCATCAATGCAAGAATTCATACACATACATGTAACTTCAATAAAAATGAAGAGTATCCTGGCATCTCACTTTCACTCAAACCACTAAATATGGTAGCAACCAGCAGCATGATGATCAACATATGGCAGATACAGTAGCTCCTCCACACCACTTGACAGATGAGCAATTGTACTTCATTTCTTCTTGATTCAATCACATAGTCTTCTTGTTTCTGGCTCCTCTTGATTGTGTTTCAGATGAAACTCTCACCCCCTTGTTGTCCAGATTTGGAGCATCTTTAGCCACTCTATCAAAAACATATGTTGGTAAAGGGATGACTTCCTTTTCTTTTTTGTCACATTGGTGATAATAATATGTGAAAAATGATGACTCTCAACAATCTATTTGTTGCCATGATGCAGATTTCACACAAGAACAAGTAAGAAGCTTCTATGACAACAAAGTGACGGTTAAATCAGTCTTGGAACATCTACTAGTACTATGTCCCTGCTCTTTGCGGAGGAGTTCCTGGAGGAGCTGCTGACAGAGGCTACTCCTACTACTAGTAGTATTAGGTTGTTGGTATACTAGGTGCTGGCTTGTCCCCTTCTCCTGCTTGATGTTTGTCATTGTTGTCACCACATTCTTGTTGGTGTTGGTGCTGGTGCTGGTGCTGGTGCTGGTGCTGGTGCTCAGCAGGAGGTGCGAGAATGATAGTACTACTAGTAGCACTAGTACTAGTAGTACTAGTAGCACCACCACCACCACCAGGCAGTACCAATAGTAGTAATAATACTACTAGTAGTACTAGTACTAGGAGTACTAGTAGTACTCCTGCTGCTGCTAGTACTACTAGTAGTACTACTAAGAAAAGCAAAGAAGTACACGTAATCTTCTTGTGCAGTACTAGTAGCAGCAGTTTCCATATTTAAGATGCTCAATTTTGTAGCTCTAAACATGTTATTAGCAGTAGTAGTAGTACTAGTATTCCTTCCTCTTAGTAGTAGTAGTGCAAGAAGAACAACAAGAAAAAGTGCTTCTTGTTGTCCTGCTAGTACCATAACTTCTTGACCTTGAAAATCTTACGGTTACTAACAGCACTGGCATTTTAGCACACGTTCTTTCACCACCTGGGGAAGAACGACGTTGGACCGAACTATCTCCAGTTATCCTTAATCGCTTGAATGTGCCATCATGATTAGCGCGCCGGGCGACTGACTGTTTCACAGTACTTAGAGGAAAAAACCAATACGAGTCTTTTTCTTCGAGTTACTCCACCTTGTGAACAAAAATTGAGACACAAACCACACACTTCATGCATAAAAATTCGTCGACCAAGAGCGCGCCAAAGCCAACGACAATTGAAAGAGTCTTCATGGCAATCAGAGCTACGACATTCTGCAGCTGCTCACAACGACTATCATTCATTGTCGAAAGAAGCTGTCTTTCGGTCTTATGGTTAGGGAAGAAGTCACCACATTGTTACCTCGCAATTGGCGTTTGAAACGCTTCGTCGTCTGAGGCTTTTTGTTTGGTCTTGTGGCAACCTTCAATACCACATGAGTATCATCTTCAACCTGAGAAGACAAAAGTAGCGCTTTCCAGTAGGGAAAGGTCCCGCTTCAGAATATCGCGCGAGTCTCTGCTGACAGTAGCAACTTCCATCCGCAAGCACCAGCTAGGAAATTTCTAGAGTTTTCAATCGAAGTAGACAAAAAGAGAGCTCCTTCAGTTTGTAGATTTCGAGTAGGCGGAGAACTCTCATCACGATGGACAAAGCCACACCAAAGATTTTTAATCGGAAAGCCCCACCCGACGAATTATTCCATAGCACTGGCTCTTATACGCACAACTACAACGCACCAATCCCAAATCGCCGGAACCCTTTAGAAGAACAGTTGGCGAAACACTTTAGGAACAACTCAAGAGCAGCAACGAACGAAGGTATAGACAATGAGATAAAACAGGTTGAAGACAGCCTAGATCGATTCCGTGGCTTTACTGAATCTTCAAAGAAAATATCGATAGCGTCTTCCACTTCAGCTTTTACAAAACCAGATCCCGCGGTTTCGCGCTCGATAGGTGATACGAATATTAGCCATCAGTATCATCATCATAAATATGATGATCAAAGGTCATCTATTCTGTCAAATCTAAATACGGCGGCGATACATGCAAAGAATACACTGCGAGAAGAAGCGTCAACAGTGATCGCTCCTGACAAATTCCCCTACTATCGCAGCGCGTCTCCGATTGCCAGGATGAGAGACAACAAATTTCAAGCGGAGTTGTCGCCCACCGTCAATATTAAGAACAATAAAATTGACAGTCCTAGTGGCGATATAACTCGGGATTACAGCTCTGGTATTCAAAAAGTAAAATCAGAGCATGAGGTCAGAATGGAAAAGAGGCGCAAGTGGAAAAAAAAGATGAAGATTGCTCAGGCGAGAAAGCGCCGTGAGAGACGAGCACGTGACGACTACACGATTGGCTCTAGCTCCCACTTTGGCAGAAACTCTGCTATCATTGGATGTGTATTGGATAATGTTGAAGGAACGGAATTCTTCCAACGACTAACCCAGTGTACTGGTGGAGAATATCATCGTGGAGACGGGTGCGCAGCAAGTGAATACGAAGAAAGTGAATATGGATCGATGTCTTCAGCAACCGGATCTTACTCGGAAGACTACTATTCCGACGAAGACATGTTTTCTTTTGGCACTGACGCATCAGATATTCGAAAAGGGGATGGCAAGGGAAATTTAGGATCACAGAAAGTCAGTATAAATTCTCCTTCTCGGGAATCGTACGATCTCTCAGTGGACACGACCGTACCAGAAGAAATGACGGCATCCTTTCTCTCAGGGGATGAGATATCTACCACTGAACGTTCGACGACCACAGATTATGCACGCTACGGAAGGCCACCAAGCAGTGAGCGCATGGCAACAAACTTGTATCAAGAGTCGTTTTCCGATTCGAGATTCATCGAGAAGTTCATCACAGGCATCGAACGCAAGGGCGAATCTTTGCTATGGCACCAAGAAACATCCGGCGTGGACCCCAAGAACGTCATTGTGCGGCTGAAACGAGGATTCCGAACCACCCGTGGGACGTACTGTGCCCCGCGGCTGATCTGGACCGACCATCAAAACGGCCTGAACTACGGCTTTGACGTGTTTGACATTCAGTCTCTGGAACGGGCGGACATTATGCATCTCAGAAACTTTCCGTATGCCATGCCCGGGCGCAGCATGTTGCTACAACTAAAAAACGCGACGAGTTTTATCTTTGAAGCAGGGACCGAGGGGGACGCCGAGCGGTTTGTCCGTGGCGTCCGATTGGTCGTGACCCACCTGGCTTACAACCTGGTCGTTGCCAACCTGGGCGTGGGTAGCGACCTGCTCAACATTTGTCACGTTGAAACAGAGAGCACAAGCTCGGATCGATTAGAGTCTGATTGGTTTCGGGCCATGGACGATGTTACCGAGCAGTTGATCGACAATGCTATAGCATCAAACACACAATAAAATACAATTTGAAAAGTATGTATAATTAATATGTAAAATTGTGCACTGTAATGCGTAGGAGCACTCCTCCCGTAATTGGCGTATAGGAAGCAACGGAAAGGAATGATTCGAAAGGAGGTGGATGAATTGCAGCAACCAAAGGAAGAACAGAGAGGAAATTATAGATCAGTGCTTCATATTTCGTCCAGGGGACAGTTTAGAAACACCCAACACTACATATTACATAACCGAATCCAAGAGCTCTGGTTCAATGATATTCCGTCAGCTCTTGTTGTCAATCATTTAGTGTGGCCCCAGTATAGTATTCTTTTCCATCTTTAAAAAGATTTAATATCAGTAGCGATGGGGAACCTAGCACCAGAGCTTTCACTATACCAGCTTTCACTATCCTTTATTCTATCACAGGCATCCTCCTCCTCCCCTTCTGGCAGCGGGTTTTGCTAACGCAGGTTTTCTTCTGCTTCGTCCATTGTGAGTGATCATGGTCGGCCCGGAGTTTCACTATTCCATCTGCCGGATCAATATTCTTGTCACTGTTTGCTGTGAACGTCAAAAGCAAAGGAACAGTGGTCCGAACAAGAAGAAAGCAGCAATCCAGATCAAATAGGAGTTCTACCACTACAACTAGCTTGTTTGACTAACGAAAGGTGCATCAAATCGATAGTTAAGATCGGGGTGGCATTGATGCTGAGAAAGTGTCTTAGAGTGAGTTGAAGTACAGTACTTCAGATTGGAATTCCGATGGTCAGAGGCTTTCGAAGAACGAGAAGATCATTGAAATTCTTGTTCCAGCGGAGATGAGTTTGGATGCACCCTCGTGGATTGCTGTGGTGCCACGTACTAGATTCACTACGAGGAGATACAGACCAATCGGTTTTGCTCGAATTACAAGGCTTTCCTGTCGAGAAACCTCCGTTTGGCTCCCGGATGGTCCGTGGGACAAGCAGCTGGTGCCGGCAGGCATCAACGACCACCGGATCGAGCAGGAATTCCGTGCAGGCCTACTACCTAGCGGGGTTGTGACGGTCCCAACGCTGAACGAAGACACGGGGGAACGCTGCATCCAGCAAAATCTTCCGTGGTGAAAACGACGAAACGCCAAGGCGTGGGAGATTCCCTGGACAACGCCGTTCGCTGCAGAGGCATACGCAGAACACTCTGTACCATTACTGCAGTGCCATTCTGAAATTGCCAAGTGCACCAAAAAAGTTCTGGCAATAGCCAAGGGCCGCGGCAAACCTCCGATGCGACAACGGCACTGCTACTTTATTGGGGCATGCTATGTTCTACTACTATACAACCACGGTTCCGCCCCGCCCCGCCCCGCGCCCGGGTCTCCCCCTCCCCAAACGAGGAAAGCCGACCCCGGTCCGCGCTATCGGACCTCCTCCAGGTCCACCGCCTCGCCCCGCTCCAGGCGTTTCTCGAGCTCGATCAGGCGGCCCACGCCGTTGATCATCGTGTTGATGAGCTGGACCTCGCTCTGGCCCAGCCGCTCGGCGTTGGCGACATCAAAGACGCCCGTGTAGCCGCCGCCCGGGCCGGTGGCCTCGAAGCGGCTCGAGGTTTCCAGCCGGAGCCGGTCCAGGAGGTCGGCAAAGCCGGGCTGCTGCCCCAGCCGGTAGAGCTTGATATAGACGCTGGCCCGCAGGGCGGTCCCGAGGTTTTCGGGGGACGTGTTGACAAAGCCGTAGCGGGGGTGGCGGGCAAAGGCGTGCCCCCGCTTGTGCAGGGACTGCTCGATCTGGGTGAGGGCCTCCGAGAGGCGGCCAAAGACCGCCAGGAGGTCCCCCCCGTTGCTGGTGGCAATGACGCGGAGGTGGTCCTCCTTGTTGAGCCAGATCATCAGGTCGGGGGTGTCGTGGTGGTGGTTGGTGGTGTTGTGGTTGCCGCTGCCGTTGTGGTTGCGGTTGCTGCTGCTGCTGTTGACGTAGATCCCCCGGGCATCGGGCCAGTCCCTGCCGATCCCCACCGAGATGTTGTATTCGTCCGGATCGTGGAAGAGTACGTGGCGGGCGATGAGGTCGTCGTGCTGCTCGTTGGTCATGTCCATGACGCGGAGGTATTTTCCGTTGCGGAGGCCTCCGTGCTGGTTGACGATCGTTCCAAAGCCAAAGCCAAAGTCCTCGTCGTCGTCGTCCTCGTCGAGGCCATCGCCGCCGGGGTGGTCGTCGCACTCGCTGTTCCAGTCCTCGTCGGCCATCTCCCGAAACAGGGCCTCGACTTCCCGCCTCTGTGCCCGGCCAATCACCGGGGAAAAGGGAAAGCCCTTGATGGACCGCGCCACCCTCATGCGGGTCTGCAGGATGTAGTCCCCGGTGGGGTCCAGGACCTGCTTGAGGACGGCGTTCTTGTTGAGGTTGGTGAATTGGCGGCGGAGCATCATGCCGCTCTTCCTGCTGTTGCGGCCGTACATGGGGCCGTCCTCCAGGACCATGGCCGGGGACACGGCGGTGACCCTGCGGTCGTCGTCGTCGTCTTGGTGGTTGTTGGTTTTGCGGCTGTGGGTGCTGGTGGAAGCACTGCCGCTACCACTGCCTCTACCAATGCCCACCCCGGCTTCCTTGTCGGCAAAGTGGTACCGGTGGTAGTCCTCGACGATCGGGACCAGCAGGTCCGCAAAGACGTGGTAGGATTCCTCGTCCCCCGCGTAGACCCCGGTCCCCCGTGGAGGCCTGGCCCCCCACGGCAGCGAGACGCCGGAGCGGATGAGGTCCTCCAGGGTGACCCCGTGCCGGGTGGTCTTGTCCCGGAGGGACGCGTAGACGGCCGGGGTCAGGTACCGGCGCAAGTAGGACCCGGACCCGAACCGGGAGAAATCCGGAAAGGACGGGTCGGCCTTTGGCTCCGCCTCGCAGGACGAGACCCATCGCGGCGCCAAAGGTGGCCGGGAAAGCCCGGTCGGTGCCCGTTCGCCGCTTTCCCCGGACGACAGGGCCCACGCTTTCCCGCAGGCGGCAGCGGCCATCGCTCCCGAGACCGCCCTGGCGAGGGCCGGGTGGCCGGCCAGGTTGCCGGCGGAGGGCATGGCGGGACAGCGGGGGATGCGGTGCGGTGTTCTGCCGTGCCTTGTCGCGTTGCGTCGCGCAAGCGGGGTCGGGCGGAAGGGAAGGGAGCGAGAACGAGAACGAGAACGAGAACGAGCGGGGGTCTGCCAATGGGGAGGAACCGGGAGGGTGGTGCGTTGTTGTAGCGTGACGGAGCCCGGCAAAGCGGCAGGTCACCGGTCACGAGGTGTTGTTCGGTATCGTACCGTATGCAATGTGGCAGGTTCGGAAAACGCCGATTCCGGGACTTTTTCCAAAAATGAGAACGACGGGGCGATCCATCACTGCGATTCGTTCTTGTTCGTCGTTGCGAGAACGGGTGCCTCGTACTAGTACCGGTATTGCATCACATACTACTCGTACTAGTAGTACCTGGTATGTACCGGTACTCCGGGCACGGCACGGCAAAGCAATTCGATTCGAAAAGAACTGTTATCTGTGCAGGTACGAGTACGAGTAGTACTCGTACTCGTACGAACCGGTATGTTGCGCCACCACATCTTCGGGAGGGATCGTACCAGATCGCATCGCTCGCTCCGTACGAGTACGTTCCGTACTAGAAGTACCCTACTACTTGTACTATTTCGTATCGTACCATACGACACGTTCCCTGCCGTACGGTACGGGCGCTACTCGAAGTTTTAGGGCGAAAGGATCGATGCCGGAATGCAAGGGATGATGTCAGATTCGTTGGTTCGATGATTCAGCCATTCGTGCTTCGGACGCGTTTGGGTTCGCATTGGTTCCGGGAACCAAATCCTACGATTAGTAGGAACGTACGTACGTAGGGACAGGGGTAGGCTTAGTCATTACTCTTAGTACGTACGTACGTACGAACTCTTTCCCGCTTCGCTCACACCTACATCGTATGTTTTTGTCATATGTATCTTATGATATAGGAATACCCGATAAGGCATAGGAATTACTAGTACGTACTTTACTACGTACTTAATGTACGATACTATCGTCCGGTAGCTACGGTATCTGCTCCGGCAATGCAAGAGGTCCTCCTGCACGCGAAAGAGGCGTTTTTCCACGCAAAAATCCCCTCGCCGGTGCTAGGCCCCCGTTCCTGCCGCCAAACACACGCAAGTTACAAATCACACAACGCAACCCCGTGCGTTACTTTGTTACTAAGAAACTGTACCAACCGCACGTACCGTACAAATCTCCGCTCTGCCGTTCCGTTTCGTTTTGGCTTGGCTTGGCTTGGCTTAGTTTTCGTTTCTGATACCAAAGTACGAGTATCGTACTGCTGTTACTGTTACCATCCATTGTCATCTTTCTGCGGTTGTGTTGTTTGGGTTCCGGGGCGGACACTGAACGCATACGTTTACCAGGTACTCCACAAGTTCCGAAGCGACCGAACAGGTCTACAGAACACCACCGCCCAGAGCCCCATCTCCGCAGTTCCTCCTATAATGACGACCACGCAACACTAGCTAGCTACGTACTTCACCTAATACACCGACTCTGTACCCCACTCCTATCCATCTCGAGAGCTGTTTTCTTTTCCGATTGGCGATCCCGATTCGTTTGACCCCATTCCGCCGACGCGCAAGAAGACACAGCAACGCAACGCAACACAACACAACACAACACAACACACGCGGCAACGCCCACCACTCCGCGCTTGCACGGCACCCAAAAAAAGGCATTCCAACCGAACGCCACAAAACGCAACGCTCAGCCCAAGACGCGACGCGGCTTCCTCCGCAACCTCCCGGTTCTCTTTCTGCTCCACGGATCCGGATCCATCGCTGGCACCATGGCGGACACGGCCGTGGCCAGGGACTCGGTCTACTCCTTCGAGGTCGCACGGCGGGCCGTCGGGAGGGCGGCCCTGCACCTGGGCATCGACAGCATGACCGAGCAGTCCCTCGACGTGATGGCAGACGTCCTACTCCAGTACCTGGCGAGGACGGGCCGGGCCCTTTCCCACCTGGCGGAGTCCTCCCGCCGGACCTCGGCGCACGTGAACGTCCTGGACGCCTTTCAGGCCTGCCAGCTGGTCACGGCCCCGGCCGTGGGACGCCTCCACCTCCCCGCGGAGGACGACGACGACGTGCCGACGGAGGCGGCGCCGGCCTCCTCGTCCGATGCCGCGGACTCCTCGTCGCCCCCCGGGGGAGCCGTGGGCGGCGGCAGCGGCAACGGGGGGGCGTCCGATCCGCCGTCGTCCCTCGCCGCTGCGTCCTCCGCGGGCCCACCGGGCAGCGGTTCCTCCGCCGCGTCCCAGTCCTCGACCGGCTGGAAGGGCCTGGCGGCCTTTGTCTTTGGCCCGAGGTGGCTGGAGGAAAAAGACGAGGAGGACTGCCGGATGGAACAGTCGATCGCCGCCGCGGACGCCGTGGCCGGGGACACCGCCGACGACGGACCGGCGTCCTCGGGGGGCGGCGGAAAGGTCTTTCCCTCGTCCCTCGACGGGAACGGTGGCGCCGGCGAACTCAGCGGGGAGTTAGACGGGACCCAGGGGCGCCGGCGGAAACGACGGGGCTGGGACGCGCCCTATCCGGACGGGGTGCCCCTCTTTCCCAGGGCCTCTCCGACCTGCGCCAATCCGCACGCCCTGCCGGCCAGGCTCACGGGCGGCCTGTCGTCCTCCTCGCGGAGGTTCTACCGGAAGGTAGAGGTCGCCGCCGAGGAGGCCGCGGAGGACGAGACCGAGGCCCTCGAGGAACTGGAGGCCCTGCCGGACGGCGTCTTTGTGGAAGCCCCGGAGGAGGGAGACATGGCGGCGGTGCACGGGTCGTCCTGGGGGAGCCTGGACGGCAGGCACAAGCGAAACCCGGGCCCCCCGGGAAGCAAGAACGGAGGCAGGGCCTCGAAAGACCAGGACGGCGACGTGGAGATGGAACCCGCTACCAAAAAGACCAAGCTCGGAACCGAGCAAGACGGAGCCCAGGGGGCGAAACCGGGCGGACCGAAGGGAGGAAGCGGGGAGGGAGAGGAAAACGACGATGCCCTTTCGGACGAGTTTGTCTACGTTCCCTCCTTTTATCCCCGGCCTCCCTCGACCAAGGTCGTGGTGGACGATCGGCGGACGGTGGTGGACGAGACGGACGACGAGGAGCAGCGATTGCTCCAGCAGACGCGGACGCAGCTCCGGCAGGAACAGCAGGTCTCCTACGCGTCGTCCCTGGCCGCGAGGGCTTTCCCCGGAGCGGCCCTCCGCGACACGATCGACATCGACTCGTCCCGCGGGGTCCGGACCTCCCTGGTGCAGCTGGGCAGCGGGCACTCGCACTACTGGGGCTCGGGCTGGGACGAGGCGGCCCCGAAGGGCCAGAGGCCGGCGTCCGCGTCGGCGATTGCGGTCCCGATGGGACGAAAGCCGGCGGCCTCCGGAAACACGGTCCCCCTGGGAGAGCCGATCCTCCCCATGAGCCGCGCCAGTGGATCGAGGGTCAGCCGGGTCCTGGAGGGGTCGATGGACGCGGCCGCGATGCAATAAGAACGACAACACTAGTACGCACTGTACTTGGTAGCAACACACAAACACAAATACAAATACACGCACACTTTTTGCAACAACAACAACAACAACCAAAGACAAGCAAGGAAGCGTTTCAACAACGTGAGCGGCTCCAACAGAAATTTTTGGCAATGCATTTCCATGCCGTTGTTTGCTGTTTTGGTATGCAAGATTCGCACAGTGCAGCGTTGTTGCGCTCCGAGCAGTGTTGCTCCTTGGCGTTGCTTTCTAGCGTTGTATTTTAGATCTTTCGCTTTTCCATTTAGTTCTAGACTTTTTGACTGTTATCGTCCCTCGCCGGCTGCGAGGAATTCCGACGGGGGAGAACAACTCCATAAATCTCGACAAGTTCTTTCTTCTGGAGGCAGGCCCTGATGCACGCGAGACGATCGGTTTCCTTCCTTGCAGCTAGTGAAGCCGTAGACACCCCGGATCAGGACAGCAATCCAGGTCCAACATCTTGCACCGGGAAGTGCCTATCGTACCAAGTAACTTTTACATCCCTCGAGCTCATTGCCTCCCCGAAGCACCCCATTCAGCCCCCTCTCCTCGTGCTGTTTGCTTCCTCCAGGAGGATTCCTTGTTTCGACACTCGTATTGTCCTGTCTCTTTCCAGTTGCAGTTGTTCCAAACAACGTTCGTACCGGTTGACAACAGCCAAGACACCATCCCATCMCCAACAGAAGAACCCGTCGGCTCTCACAATGAACCTAGTCTGATTCCCCTCCCCAGTAGGAGTTGCACTACTACTAGCTACAGAAGCTGTTGCAAACAGATCTTTCAGTCATTTTCATGTTCCTGATGCCTCTTGTACCATACAACATGAATCAAACAACTTTCGGCAGCAACAACTAAATACCATAAGCGTTCCACCACCCAAGATCCATCTCCTCTAGTAGCTGCTGCTCTTCATAATGCAGCACCTCCACTGCTGAACCTATCGCTGCTGGCACCCTACAGAAGACTTTGCTTGTTTCGGCCATTGGAATTGTTTACTTCTGATGGTCCTCATTCCCGCTCTGCTGCTGCAAGAACATAGAGAATTTCTAATTTCCAACCATTTGCATCTTTTGCATTTTTTCAGGAGCAGCAACACTAGTACTAGAACTATTAGTTGTAGGTGTTTGGTCTTGATCCTGGTGAAAAAATGGTCGGCAGTCCCCTTCCCAACAACGTCCCTGGCCGGGTCCTATATCTTTTCACCATTACTAGCTACTACTACTGATATTAGTATTAGATATTGGTACATACTATTGTTTCCCGTAGTGATGACCCGAACTTTATGCGCAACGGTCGACTCCGTAGCAATGGGACAGGTTCCTACGTAAAACTCGTACCAGCACTGGCCAAAAACTCTGAATTTCTTTATCCGAATACCGGCCGGTACGGTGGATTTGATTTTGAGTATTTTGGTCTCATTGAACTTATGCTCCTTCCACACAACACCGAAACCCTCATTTGCTCAAAGCCACGAGACCAAAAGGGATCATTGTCAATCAATTGCGAGGGAAAGCGTACGAGAAACAATGGTTGATTCCGGAAACCAGGACAGCCCTGTGATGGCCAAAACGGAAAGGAAACGACGGAAGATCACCGTGGTTCAAAAAGCGGTCTTTGCGGCAGCGACAGTCACGACGATGGTGACAGCGGGACGCCTCTGTTCCTCGTCCTCGTCTGCTTGGTCGTCGCTGTTCCAAAGATACAGCAGAAACAACAGCATGGACTCTGCGCACGGGCAAACACACACGTACCTTCAAACCAACGAGCGTCGGCGGCGGCTCGGAGAAATCGAAGCCAACATGGAAAACGACGACTTTGTGGCGGAGAGCCAAAAGAAACACCACCCCATGTTTTCTGTATCGGACACCTTCACCATTCTTGGACCGACGGTCTTTCCCAAGCCCACCTATGTTTACGGGGATGACGTCCCGAGCGACAAGGACCTCGTGACGTACCTGCAGCCTACCTCCGGGAGTCATCGGCCCGACCGAGACTCGGTCTTTGTCTTTGCCGCCGAGTACAAGTTCGACACATACGTACTCTTTCTGATGAGCCTCTACGACACGGGATTCAGGGGGGATGTGGTCTTTGGCATTTCGAAAATGGACTGGGAAAACAAAGAGGTCCGGAAGTTCCTGGAGCACTGGCAAAACGCCGCCGGGAAGGACGAGATGACCGTGGTCGTGTATGTGGTTCCCTACCACTGCTACAACCTCGAGGGGGAAGTGGTACCCAGCCACAGGGGCGGGATGCGCGTCTGCAAGTGCAACGACATGTTCGGCCTGAGAGCGAAAGGCGGTGATCCCGATGCACCCACCATCCCCATCGCGGACAAGCGGCACGGGCGAACCGCACAAACGATCCGCTACGAATTGTACTGGATATGGTCCGAGCACTACGACCCCGACAGCTGGATACTCCTCATCGACGCGAGAGACACCATCTTTCAGCAAACTCCCTTTGGAAGAGTGCCCCGGAGGGAGAACCACGGAGACGACGGCGGGGTCCTCATTTTTTTCGGAGAAAACGCGGACGCCACCAGCCTGGGACAAAGCAAGTACAACCGCAAGTGGCTGACCCTTGCCTACGGGGAGAGCGTCGCCGACGCCTTTTACGACAAGCCCACCATTTGCAGCGGGTCGACCATGGGCGAGCAGAAGGCCATCGAGACCTACCTGCGGGCCGAGGTCGCCGAATCCGACGAATCAAAGACGGTCATCTTCGGGGCCGACCAGGGCTTCCACAACTACCTTTACTACAGCAACAAGATGGCCAACGCAGAAGCGATAAGCCAGATCCTAGTGCAGGACCAGGGCCTCGGACTCGTCAACAACATGGGGGCTCTCCGCGACAAACCCCTCTCGGAGTGGGGCAACGGAAGGATGCTCCAGGAAGAAGCGTCGGAAGCGCACCCCCAAAACACGGTCTTCAACTGGGACGGGACCGTCTCTCCTATCGTGCACCAGTACGATCGGCACAAGGTGCTGTCCAAGTGGTGGTGCAAGACCAAGTACAAAGAGTACAAGAACCGGTGGAACGAGATGAAAAAATGAACCCGTCCCAGCGAACGCGACAACAAAGGCGATCAACCTTCCGGGGCAAAGAACTAAAGAAACATATGTAAATCAATCAATCAAACAAACAATCAATCAAACAAACAAACAAACAGTGCGTTACCCTTTTTTGAAAAGCATGGTGTTTGTCGCTGGTGACCGGTGTAGTGCAGTTAGTTGGTTGGTTCGTTAGAGTGCAGGATAGAATTGTTCCTTGAACCGATCCGTAGGAGTATGTACCTATTGATTGCAAACATGTATTTCGTAATGGTTGTGTTGGTCAAGTAGATCGGATTCATTCATTCGCGGAGAAAGCAGAAAGTGGACACCAGTCGTTGTGCTCCAAAGAATGAGACGAGAGTCCATTCATCCACAAGAACAAGGAGGATGGTTTCACGCAAAACAAAACATCCAGCTTCTTGTTGTTCATTCTGCTCCTGCTGCTGTTGATTCAACAAGGAGTTTCGCCAGTAGTAGTACGGTACTACTGCTGCATCGTGGTAACGAAGTATTGTAGTAGCTACTACTACTAGCGACTTTTTAATCATTTTTCCCTTTCAATTAGTGGTGTCTGGAAGCTGCAAGGGTTACAATACATGACGTATCGAACTCGCCCTCATAGTGCAACTACCGAGTGCTAAAATACTAAAACTACATTGGGACTTAAGGCTTGAAAACCAATATGGAGGGGGAAAACCTCACAAGACTGACTTAATTTCGAGTCACGATCTCGGGGTCACCATCAAAAACCGTCAGTTTTGGAACCTGGAAAAACATTACACACACATTTCGTGGAAGTACGTACCAGGGGCATCGTAGGATTAGTGCGGTGTGTTTCAATTTTTCTATCTCAAAATTTTCTTTTTCTTTCTCCACCGATTACAGTATCCATCACGACTTCATAGTCACGATACCTCGACGCAACCCCTACACCTTGTCAAACGAGGTTCCTAGTTCGTTGTCCATTGATCCAGTTCTTCATTGATATGGAAATTTGGCGCAATTTATGCCGTCGTTGCTTATGGAATGTGGCGGTCCCAGAACGAAGGACAATCCTTTGGTTTTGTATTGCTTCGTGGTGGATGTTTGGATGCATTACTTTGCATCTCCCTCTATCCGCAACGGCATTTGTAGATCCAGTGCATCATGTGGTGATCTCCACAAGGATACCATTTGTATCTATCCCTACTGTTGAACGTACCGAACCTAAATATGAGAAGATCCGTCATGTATTTCAACGAATGGCCAGAAAACGACAGAGACAAGAGTTAGATTCAAACAACCCTAGAGCCGTCGATATCAGCAATATACTTTCCGATATGGGGTTGCAGCAGGTCAATGCTAACAATACTGCGAATACCAACAGAGACCACAACAAAAGAAAGAAGAAGAAAACAAAATCTAATACTGCCGTGGGAAAAAGCTCTGGGCTGCCCGATATCAGTCTCCGGACTCAATTGAACTACGCTAGAAATGGACATGCCGTTCTGCGAAATTTCATCACCGACAACAAAGACAGCTTCTCCTCTGGTTCCAGCAAAAAAAAGAATAGCAGGCTCTCGAATCTCCGTGAAGATATCTTGGATCTTGCCATGGACCAAGAACTGAAGGCGTGGGTCCAAAAAGTGCAAGTTGCAGCTGGAAAAGACATCGCCGATTCGTGTCACACCATTGATGACTGCAAGAAGGCATTGCAAGCCAATGGAGTGACGGCAAACCTACCCTTTCTTCAATACTTCAATACCTGGAGGAAACTACCGGCAGTGAAAGATCTAGCATTTGAGCTCGGAAAAGCTGCCTCGATCCTCTTGGATGTGCCCACGGTTCGTCTGTACCAGGACGCCGTTTTCTGGAAACGAAGCCAAGATGGGCCAACACCGTGGCACGTAGATGCCCGTATGGCTCCCTTTGATACTTCGCACATGATCACGTTTTGGATCCCACTCCAGGATGTACCATCGCCAGAAAATGGTGGAACGGCTTTGATATTCTGCTCGAAAAGTCATGCCGATTATGCATTACCCTATTGGAACCCGCTGCCTCAAGCGAACGGCGATACCAGTGACGATGACAATTTGTCTCCCTCCGGTTGGGATCGCCTTGGCGACCGCTATCCCAAAAAAGAAATTGAATACATGCCGATGAGCCTTGGAGACGTAACGGTACATTCGGGTTGGACACTGCACTGCTCGAACGGAAACGAGTTGGCAGGCTCGAAAGATCGAGTAGCTCTCGCAATCACTTTTGTGGATGGGGCCGCAGAAATCCGTCCGGATTGGCAAAGCATCGGAGACGACGAGGATCAATGTAGCTATCAAGAGTGGTGCATAAATGTGAAACCACGAACGAAATTCACTCATGAGCTCGTCCCGATCACCTGGCCTCCGTCGTAAAGAAAAATTACTAGCTGAGCGATTTGAAGGCAATAGGCTTTTTTTTTCTGTTCTATTGATTCTAAATACGAAGTAATGGAAGGAGTACTGCTCGTTTAGCCATGAAGCTTGAAAACTTCCATATAAGCTACCTTCCTTAAAAAGTTGATGCTGCGTTGATCTGTTAGTCATGCTGGTTCTTTTGACCGATGTAGATTGATGATGAGTTCGCTAGTGTTGATTTCTTCTCGTAGCAACTGAGCTGTTAAATTCAATTAAAGTAAGAATTTCAAATGGCCTGGCACTCATACAAATTCTGCTGCAAACGCTGCAAGAGCAATGACTGAATAGACGGACTCCTGATTAGGACTGTGCATTTTTTAAAATGATGTTTCAATGTATAATGCATCCGGCCATCCAGTCATTGTTCTTGCAGCATTTCCAAAAAAATAGCTCCGTATTATGTTCTTTGTAGCAGAATTTGTACAAGGACGTTTGAGCTTCACAGCTTTGAATTGAACTTCGAAAATACTACACACAAAAAAAACTTAATGGCAACCACCGGTGTTACTAAGAGAAACGTGTGGAGGAATCACAATTCTTTGGCAGTGTAGTAAAATCCTCTTGTATATTGCAGAATTGATTCTGTGGATTCATCGTTGAAAATTAATCCCATCTCTGTTGCCTTCAGATCTAGCCACTGATTTGTTCGTTCCGAGAGATGCCATCCACATCTAATAGGCCAAAACGGCTGGGAATGGAAAATAGGTTCGCATGATGCCTGCTCGCTCTCGATTCTTCCCAAGGCAGCAAGGTGCGGAAAACCCCGGGAGCACACTTGGATTGCATTCGAATTGTTCACACTTTTTTCCAACCAATATGGCTGCTACTGTGGAGATGATATAATATTTTTACTCTACTAATGAAACTATAGATATTTGGTAGATTGAACAAACCATGGTGGATCTATCGGATTTCGGAAAGCATTTCGTCCGTCCTAGGTTTTGGCTCTAGCATCTTCGAATTAGTACACAGGGCCCGTGTCGTACCATCATAGTTGTTAATTTTTGTGTATTGTTTCTGGTCCCGTGTGCGTGTACTTAGCTCTGGATTTCGATGGGACACAATCTCAGCGTCGGGTTCGCTCTGTGTATGCGTCGGGGGATCGAAGATGGTTTGGTTGGGTGTGCGTGTTGGAAATTGTGCGTTCGTGCGTGTGTGTGTGTGTGCTCCTTGCGATTCGTTGGTGCTTGTCTCGGCATTTGCTTTTTTGGTTCCTTTCAGTTCGGGAAGCGTGTATTTTGTGAATCTCTCTATGTGCGTGCGTGCAAGCTTGCCATCCGAGCAAGGGTCTGCTGTTTAGAGGCTGTTGCATGGTGGAAAATATCACAGTCGGGTGTAGGATTGGTATATTTACAAGTGTGTTGAGCAATGGGATCGCTTGTGGTCTTTTTGTGCGTGTGTTCATATATATGTGTGTGTGTGTGTGTGTCTTTCTGTCTTTGTGTGGGCAAGTTTGCAGTGGAAGGTAGCAAAGGAGTGATCGCAAAAGTAAAGCTAGGAGGAAGCGAGGAATGCGCGATACAGCATTATCGATTGATGGGAGCCATCACCGATAATCTGATTGCTCTCGTTTCGACAGTCGTAGTTCGCCGGACCCATCGCTTCTCCCAAGCAAGGTGTGTGTGCCATTGCATAAACTACTTTTTTGCCATCAGTTGCCTCCAGCGGGGGCACCCGGTGCCGCGAGGTTTTCGCCACCGGGCGCGGGGGGTGCTGGGGTGTTGGTTTGTTGTGACTGCGTACCAACACTACCTGGCGTGTTGTTGTCACTGTTGTTGTTGTCCACCGTCGGGAGGCCCCCGACCCAGGCGGGATGGACCAGCTCGCCGCTGACCGAACAAATGTACATCCCCTCGTCCTCCGTCACGTTCCTCCAGTTCCAGCCCTCCGAGGCAAACTCGACGGCGTTCCGCTCGGCATTTTCCTGTAGCTCGTACCGGTTGGACCATATGCGCGACTTTATCCGGTCGCTGTACTCGTGGCGCGTGGGGATGGGCACGACCTCCACCTGGTCCTGGAAGGCGATGCGGGTGGGCTTGGTGCGGAGGAGCTTGGAGGTGCTGGAGGACCTCCTCATCTTGGTCTTGGTCTTGCCCGAAGTGCTCCCCGCGCTGCTCCTCCTCCGGCTCACGCCGGTCCGGCTTCCGTTGTCCCCCTCCTCGTGCTGGAGATCGTGCTCTTCGTCGCAGTCCGAGTCGTCGGGCACGACGATGGATTCGTCGTCGCAGTCCGAATCGTCGTCGATCTCGTCGTCGGAATAGATGCCTGTCTTGAGGGGCTCCTTCGACGGGACCACCCCGCTGAGGGGTCTCCGGGTGGCGGAGCCGTCTGGTGGGGATTGGTAAAAGACGTTGTGCCCGACCCCCATGCCCCGCAGGATGCGGACCCTCCGGTGCTGGGCCGCCGTCAGGGGCTGTTTCTGGAACTGCATCTGAGCGGCCTTGCCCCCGGCGTCTCCCGCGGGCGGGCTGGAACCGTAGATCCCCAGGCGGCTCAGCAGCCGGGACCGAATGTCCCCGGAGGAACCCCCCCGGCCGGGAATGCCGCTGCCCCTGGCAAGTCCCCCGTAGGCGCTCCCGGAATACGGGTGCGATCTCGGGAGGCCCGCGGTGGTGGTCGGGGGCGGGGGCAGCCGCTGCGGGGCAGAGGAGCCCATCCCCGACGACGGGGAGGCCCCCCGGGCCGGGCCCGGGGTGGCACGGGCGGCTCCGCTGGCGTTTGCATTCGTGCTCGCTTTGGCATTCGCGTTCGCGTTTGCCACCGCCGCCGCGAGGCCCACCCGGTGGATCCCCTCGCTGATCCCCCCGACGCCCATGCTCCGGCCGCAATCCTCGCTCGGTGCCTCCGCGGCAGGCGACGCGACGCCCAGGCTGGTGGCTGCCATTTCGTTTGGGCTGTGTTGTGAAGTGTTGCGTGCGTTTCGTTTGGTTGGGATCGCGGCAGAGCTTTGCACTGAACACGTGCTGTTGGAATTCCCTCACACAGATCGATCGAAAATGATTATATTTCCGGGGGGCAGTTATTTGTCGTGTTGGGTACAGTTATTGGAATGCAAGCAGGCACTGTTGCGGTATGGAAGTGCAGGGCAAGCCTCAAATCAATCAATCAATCGGTTAACCAATCAATCAAAGCGGAAGAATGAAATCGGGGTGGGACGGTACGATGTACAGTACCGTAACTGTCTCATTTATTTCTCAGAAGGCGTTACCACAAGATGGTGTTTTGAAAGGATGAACCGGGCCGTCCGATTGCCGATGTGTGGAGCGTTAGATCGAAACACGACAACGTTCTAAAAAAAAGGTACGCAAATCAGATTGAAGAAAACTACCGTGGAGATGACAAGCGCCAACGTTTTCCTCATGGAAGGAGAGCATCTACGGGGATTACCGTACCGTACATACCGTACAATACAATAAAAAATGAAAAAAATACCTCTACAATCAAAACTGGTAATCGTACCGTATGTACTATTACCGTAATGAACTACGAGTACCCTAAATAGCTAGACAGCTTTACGGTGGATGCCTCAGTCCGGTACGGTACGCACGAAGACATTTTCTTCGGTCGCAACCACAGAATCCCAAAGAAAAACCATGTTTCATTACTGTATTTCACCGCCAAATAATAATATCAAACTGTCATAGGATAATGAACCGGTACGGTACTCGACAAGTACACAAAGAAAATATAACTAAAAATGCAACCGTGTAGAACACAGTACATAAGACTAGTAGGTCTTATAGACAGTGCGTGGCAAGACTGGAGTGCAAGAGTATCAGCGTGTTTGATGAGAAGTACTCACACGATCACGCACGAGGCAAATTCTATGGAAAAAAACCAAGTCGGGAGAGTAATTCTCGACAATCACGTCGATAACGACAACAC